CCCTCTGCCCCGGGACCCTCCCTTGGGCGGTGACTTCTGCTTGAGCATCTTCACGTTCACGTGGGAAATTGTGGAAAGCTCACAGCAACAACTATCTTGCAGGTGAGAGGACCCAAAGTAGAGACGCAAAGGGATTTTCCAACAATCTCCAAGAAAATTAACACGAGAAGCCAGACTGAAACCCAGTAGCATGGTGTCCTGGGTGGAGCTGTTTAGGGAGCCGGACGGCCTCCCTCCCTGTGTCCACACCAGTACACTGAGAAGGAGCGCACAGGGGGCTGACCAAGGGTCCCCAAATTCCAAATGGTTGTGCTCCCAATGGGCAGGCATCTCCCACCGAGAAAACCTATCTTCTCCCTGCCTCCCCAGGATCCTATATCCAGATAGAGAGAGGGAATGCATAAAAATGAAATAACAAAATGAAACATGTCCCCCAAATCCCCAGACAGCCTTTATTAGAGTTATCTGAAGGATTAAGTCACTGGGGGAGACCACACAATTTTAACCCCGGGCTCATGTGTTCAGATACACACCTGGTCCCGAGGGGAGAACCCAAACATGAGAAGAGCAGAGGGCAAGCAAATGGAAACTTGGCAGGAGCATGCAGGCTGCTATTCGTGCCGGCAGCCAGACAAGGAAAATTGAGAGGGTGTGAGCAGACATGGCTGGAAGGAGAAGCCTTTTCCAAGAAATTACAGAGGGATCTCCTTCCAAGGGGCTGCGGGCCTCTGCAGACATGATCTCATTGCCCCCTCCCCCCACAGCTGCTGGGGGTACCTGGGGGTCTCTGCCCAGCTCCCAAGTCCAAAGAAAACTCAAACCACCTACTTCCCTAAAGAGGCCTGGATCCGATGTTTGCTCACCAACAGCGGAGGGACCACAACGTTCCCCGACCGCGGATACAGCAGAAGTCTCCTCAAGCTTCACGAGTCTTTAAAAACACTGGAAATCTCTCAGGACAAAGAATGACTGGGAAAAAAGTGCAGTTATTTAAAGAAGAGAATTGTCTCATTCTGTGCCAAGGGGGTTGACCGTCTGGAGGAGAGAGAACAGGACCCAGCATATTAGAACCAATGGGACATATATAGATATACGGGAAGATTATGAGGAATTGGCTCTGCCATTATGGAAGCTGAGAAATCCCACCATCCACCGTCCGCAAGCCAAAGGCCCAGGGGAGCCAGTTAGGTAGAGCTCCAGTTCAACCCCGAAGGCCAGAGAACTAGGAGAACCAACGTCTGAGGGCAGGACAAGGTGGGTGTCTCAGCCTAGAGAGCACATTCTCCCTGCTTCTGCCTTCTGTTGTAATCGGGCCCCCCGGATTGGATGAGGCCCCCCACCCCCATATGGGGGAGGGCTTCTTCTATACTGAGAGTACCCATTCAAGCTACTCTCTTATAGAACCGCCCTCCCAGACACACCAAAAAATAACCTTTTCCCCAGCTCCCTGGGCGTCCCTTAGTCCAGGTGAGTCAATGCACAAAATCAACCATCACCAGCAGTGTGGAGGGAGAGGCCGGGTCCCGATGCTGTGGGTAGAGAGCGTTTTGGGGGTCCACTAAGCAATGTTTTGGGGCCTCTCCTCTGCCGTGAGCACTTTGCTGGAGTGCTAGGTGCTGGAGGATACCCAGGTGAGCCAGAGCCAGGCCTTCTGGGCGAGGGGAGCAGACCCACGCTCGTGGTGAGTGCTAAAGGAGTGTCACAGGGGCGCCTGGGTGGCTCAGTCGTTAAGCGTCTGCCTTCGGCTCAGGTCATGATCCCAGGGTCTGGTCATGATCCCAGGGTCCTGGGATCGAGCCCCACATCGGGCTCCCTGCTGGGCGGGAAGCCTGCTTCTCCCTCTCTCACTCCCCCTGCTTGTGTTCCTTCTCTCACTGTGTCTCTCTCTATCAAATAAATAAAATCTTTAAAAAAAAAAAAAGGAGTGTCACAGAGTGTGTTCAGAAGAAGGGATGCTGGTGGCCATGGGCGCTCCAGCAGGGCTTGGTGGGGCCGTCTGTGGGGCCCGACTCTGCGCCAGCTCTGTGTAAGTGATCTCTGTACACCTTCTCGCTCTATCTCCATAACAACTGTGGCTGAGGGGCAGGGAGCTTGGAAGCACATCCCATTCACAGCCCTTAGCACAGTGCCAGGCGGTGTAGGAAAATGTTGGCGGTTGGGAGCGAACGGTCAAGAAAGAACTCATGAGATGCCTCCGGTGCAAAAAGGTGGTTTTATTAAAGCCCGGGGACGGGACCTGTGGGCAGAAAGAGCTGCACCGGGGTCCTGAGGAGTGGCCCATTATATACTTTCAAGTTGGGAGGGGGTTGGGGAGAGCGTAAGCCTCTAAGGAATTTGGAAGCAAGGTTTGCCGGGCCTTGAGGGGCTAGCTGTTGTTAGGAAAAGGTCATTTACTCCCGTCTAGTAAAACCTTAGTCATGAGAACTTTCAGATGGATATCGGCGGGTCATATGCTTGGAGGATGATTGCCAACATATATCTTGGGGTTTAGAGATAAAGGAAGTTCCCAAAGGAGTTTTTGCATGTTAAGGAAGACTCACAGGATCCTGGAGGTCAGGATAAAGTTAAGCTAAGAGTGCCTTTTGCTAACATCGAGGCAGCCCCTGAGTTCCTGGGGAAGGGCACTCTGCCTGTCCCAAGGACTTGTCAGTGGGCTGTAGGTTGTAAGGAAATTAATCTTTTTTTCTTTTGTCTTTGTTCTCCACATCACCTGGCAGGCGGCGAGCGGTAGGGCAGGGATACCCACATTTGGGACAGTTGGGGGAAAGGGGTCTTTTCCACTGTGGCAGCATCTTGTTCCCCTGGCTGCTGACCTAAAGAAACTCAAGGAGCCTTCTTAGTAGCTGGCCAGGGCATGCAGCTAAAACGCAGGTGGGTACACATTACAGAGGGAAAGACCCGCGGCTCTCAGCCCTCTTTTCCAACTCCCGGGGTTTATTTTGGCTCTGGGCAGCAGACCCTCCTGGGGACGGAAGAACCTTGTGGAACGCAGCAGGGAGGAGGCATTTGAAAACCACAGGGTTCGTGATCAGATAGTGCAAAACAAACCTGACCAAAATACTGAGTTTCAGGTGGGTGGGCTTCAGGACTATTCCATGACCACCAAGGGTAGTGTGCAGAACCGGCCACACCCAGATTCCTAGTTCCTGGCAGACGTCAATTTCCTGAGAATTATTCCACAAAGTGATTCCACAGCTTTAGCTAAATGGCCCTCATTAGACCCCCCCTCCCCCCATAACCACAAATAGCAGCTCTGAAGGTTGGTGAATTGGCACATGATAAACAAGGCTTCCTAAAGACCAGGAGAGATTTCCATTTGCCTCCCCAGCCCCACTCCGGCTCTCTGGGCTTGTGAGCCCAGCACAGACCTGACCTGCGTCCTTCCCCAGCATCCCTGGGGATGCCACCAAGCTCTCCTATTGGCTGGAGCTTCGTGTCCATCACCTCTAGCTACAAAGCCTCCCAGAGCCTGAGCTCACCTGGAGTTCTAAGGACGGAGAAAACCCATGGTCTTATTCTCCTGGACTGGTGCTTTCAACCTGTCCTTGGCAATGTGCCTCTTGTCTCCTTCTGCCTGCAGGGAGGTGACAGAGGTGGAGTAGAGAGCTGCAGGTATCAGGCTGAGTCTCAGGCGGGGCCCAGTCCTGAAGAAACACGTTCCCGAGCTTGGCTTACCAGGCCCCTTAATCGCTGTTCACACACTTGGGCTTTGGGCCCTTAGGACCTTAACTGGGTAAAAAGTCAACGGTCACCCTGTGTCGCTTCCAAGTTGCCCCCACTCCCCCCTCCCGTCCAACAAAACAAAACACACAAGCAAACAAAAACCCTTCCAACTGCCCAGAGCTTGCCTGCTTAGGCAAATTCTGTCTTGGTGAACGGAGAAACCACCAGATTCAAGGGGATTGTGAATGCAGGCCTTCTCTCTGCTTCCTGATTATAAATGTCATCCCATGGCCTGGTTTGGCTTGTGGACTTTAATAAGGATCAGACAAAAATGCCAGGACTAAGTTAGTCTGTGTTCAGACACTTCTCCAGGTGTCCCTTCATTCCTTCTACGTTTCCATGGGAAGGCGGCAGATCTTTCCGGGCTAAACCTGGTTCAGTGTCACCATCTTTGGGAGGACCAACCACACAGAGGCCATCTGAGGCTTTGGGTTCTATGCTTCCGAGAGTCGCTTCTGGGTGACCAGTAGTGTGAGGTCAGGAAAAGGAGCCACAAACCTAATTTTAAAACAGCACAGCTGTTTGGGGGTGCCGACACCCCATACCGAGCATGGCCTTCAGGTTTCTGGGTAAGACCCAAAGCACAGAAGACTTTCCTCTTGGAACTGTTCACTTGCAAGAGGTGGTCAAGAATTCAGCTTTCCTCTTCCCCTTGCCCAACACCCGACGCACATGACACAGTTCTTACTCCTGGCTGGCCTCAGTTTGTCCCCTTGGGGCAGGGATGCTGCATTAGCCATCTTTGTATCCTCGGGGCTTAGCACACAATGTCGCACAGAGAAGTTTCCAGATATGTTGAGTGAGTGATGAGGAGGGACAGAGAAGTTACCCGCCAGAGAACTGGGGCTAGAAGAATGAGGATGGGGAAGGTGAAGAGCCCATTTTGCTCTCAGACTTCTCATGCTACCTGGCATTCTTACTGAATCACTTTCTGCCGTCTTTCCTAGATATTTCTTAAGATGCTAAAGAGGGGATTACCCAGAGAGGCAGTAGCTTTCTCTTCTCAGCGGCCAAGGGTCAGACAGATGGCTGAGGGCGGTGGTGGGGGTGCCAGCCTGTTGTGAGCTTCACACTGGATCCTCGTTCACTCTTGGGACCCAGGCTCCGGACCGCTCCCGCCAGGCCTGTGCGCTCTCCAGGGCTGCTGTGGGGGGTGGGGGGGGCGGGCGGGCGGTGGGCGGTGAGTCATTCATTCCTCATGCCACAGCTATCGCCTTCCCAGGAAATTGTATCAGACATGTACGCAGAGATACACACACTGTGCATACACCCATGCACAGACCGGGTCCACCAGCAAGAGAGCGGATATCCCATGCCAGGCCCGACCACGGCCCCTAGAGCTCCTTGGTCCAGCAAAGCTGGGGGTGTCTGGGGGACAAGACACGTGGCGAGGTTTGCTGTGATGCTTCGTCTCTTTGCGGTGCTGAAGTGACCGGGATGAAGACTCTGGCCCCTTGGGGGGCTCCCGCATGGGTGAGCACCCGTGAAGAACGTGCAAGTCCGCCAACATTTCCATTCGGGGCCTGCCGTGGAGACTGAAAACAGCCTGACCGCTCAGAGGCTCGAGCAGACTTGCTCTTTTATGCTCATTTCTGATAGCACGTAAGCATTTCAGTGTGAACCTAGAGTCCTCGTTCAGATCATTGATCTCCCCTTTGCCGTTAGACCCCTGGTTCTGCACTGGCCAGGGTCATGGGCACGGGGGTCTGTGCGGAGAGGTGAGGAGACAGAATGCAGGCTCTCCATGCAAAGTAGGGGTGCATCCTGCTGTCATGAGGCTGTCCAGCATGGTGAGTGCCATGGGCCCAAGACTCACTGTCATCCAGACAGTCACCAGAGGGACAGATTACGGCCGGGCCCCGCTGCCTCCTGGGACAGCAGAGGAGGAGGTCTGGGCACAGGAAAATTTGGACTGGGTTTCTTCTCCTGGGCCTTGGTTTTATCCTCTTTAGACGTGCCAGCCTTGCTACGGTCTCTTCTCTGACCTGTCCACAGGTAAATCACCAAGTTCAGCAGCTGCCCGGAAGGGAAACGAGACCTAGGCGTGACTCAGTGTCCCAGTCCGGTGGCCGCATCCCTGCGAAATATCAACCCCATGAGAACCTTCTAGCACTCTCTTGCCTTCCTCCTCAGCTGTGTATTCCTGAGCGGCCGCCCGAGGCCTGGCCCTTGCCTGACAGTTGCTGACCACGTGCCAGGCACCGGCCAGGACTGCCCACGGCCCCCCAACTCTGACGACCCCGAGAGACTTGTGATGGCCGTAACTGTTGAACTTGTGTTTGCAAGTGCTTGGTAAGTGTGTGAATTGTGTGTTGACGGTGGGGAGGCGAGCAGCACACACCTTGGAAGGGGGCCCCTTCTTCAGCCCTGCACCCAGCCCCTGAGGCGGAAGACCCTGGGCTTGAAGACTCACGGTAGTTTTCCACTGGACCCCAATCTCCCCTCTGGGCTCTCATGCTCCACTAAGAGAAGGACTTGGGGATTCTAGGTCCTCGGTGTGTCCGGACTTGACAACCTTGGAGGTAGGTAGTGGGCCGAATCATTTACTGTCCAAATCAGGACCTTTCCAGAGTGATGATGCCGGGGATGGAGGGACCCCAGACCTTTGTGCAGAGACAGGAGATCTGCACTGATCTTTCTGGGCCTCAGCTTCCCCTGTGGTCAGATGGCGTTATTCTGACGTGACATGTTTTTGCCTCTAGTTACTCAAAACATGGCAGCTACTTTACAGTAAGTCTGTCTCATTGCGGGGGAGGGGGCTCGTGTGCTTTCCGTCTCCTAGAAGAGCTCCTAGAAAGGAGGACCTTCTAGCTGAGCTTACCTTTTTAGGAGCCAAGCCGCGTGGCCAGGATGTCAGCATGGATGCTAGTTGCCCCTGAGACCCCTCGGGGTTTTAGTGGTGAAATATAAGGAGCTACTTCCCCACCTCCATCTTCACTTCTGTCAGCAGAAGAGTGATTTCTCACCCTCTCAGCCCCATAAATCTCCCGCGTAACCACTGGAGCTCCCACACTGCCCTGCCAAACCAAACAACGCTCAACTAAAACAAATTAGACAAAACTGTAAATGGTCTAAGACCGAGAGAGACCCTTCTTGGTTCCACCCTCGCGGGCATCGGGGTTCATTTAACCAAATCCCTAAACCCATCTTCCCGGTGTTCACTGCCCCCCGATTTTGCCCTTTGTGAAAGGCGTCACCATGCCCTTTGAGGCTCGGAGTCACTGCTGGGCGCTCAGCCCCTCTGACTCCATCAGGCCACTCCTCCTTGGGAGTGTCTCTCACCCTCCCTCCTTCCTCCCTCTTCCTTCGGCCCCATCCCTGCCAGCCGCCGCTGGTCTGCGGAACTCTGCCAGGCCGTCCCCCCAGAATACCTCATTCATCATGCTGTTCCTCTGCTCAGGAATCTACGGTCTCCGGGTGTGGGACCAGTCGGGGTGTTGCATGGGACTCTGGGAAGCTCCAGGCTACCTGGAAAGCGGGACTCGGGGTGGCAGTCTGGCGGGAAGGGAGGGATGAGGGCTTGTCTTGGAGCTTACTTCTATAGCAAGCACAGTGGGTTTACTTCTTCGTGATAACAGGTGCCTACGAATAGGAAAGGTTTCTAAAGATGGTTTTAGCAGAGTGTTCCAGGGGTCAATACCAGAAAATGCACATCCAAGTGGTACGGGGCACTGGTCGGCCACACAACAGAAGAACCCAGACGTGGAGTGAGCTTTTCTCTGCAAGTTCTCAGTCTCGTCAGGTCGGCAAGTGGATTTATCGGTTATTCTCTGAGCCCCGTCTCTTCCAAGGGCAGTTTGTCCTCAGGCTGGTTTCCCCCATGGTGGTGGCAGGTGCTTCCTTGTTCACCTCTCAGAGAGGGGAGAGGGGGCCTCTTCTCCCTAAGGGGGGGCAAAGCCCCGCGGTCCACTCTGAACACTCGGCTTGAGTTTTTGCGTCCATCCCTGAGCCATCTGTGACGAGAGAGATCACCCGGAGCTTGGTCAGTCTTATGCAAACGGTGGACGTGGGCAGATGGTCCAGTGTCCATGATGATGTAAGACTGAGAAAACTGAAGATGAACAAGGTCAAGGGGTGGCTTGCATGAGGGCAGTGGATGGGGATTATGTGTGAGTGTGGGGATGCTAAAGCCCCCGCTCCTGCCTGGCCCCCAAATGCTGGGCTTCTGGGCATGACAGCGCTGATTCTAGCCAGAGGGGTGGCATTTGAGAAATAGCAGGCAGGGGGCCTTCTCTGAAAGAACCAATTGCTCTTTGAAAAGGGAGGATGGTGGTTCTGGAAGGATCTCCTCTTGGAGTTTGGCTTGAGTACAAGCAAGGTTCCCGAGAGCACATCAGGTCTATGGGAAAAAAAGGAGAGGGATCCAGGCTGTGGGGCCTCTTGTGCACCCCTGTCTTGGGACAGTCTGCCTAGGGATGCCCGCCCTGCAGGATTGGAATCATGTACCCCCACCCTGCATGCACCTTGCCCTCTTCCTTGGCACCATGGCAGTTTAAAATTAGTCTTTTGCATAACACTTGAGACCTGGTTCAATGTGGCCGCAGAATTGGTGAAAACCTCCCGCGTGCCTTGGTTTCCCCAGGCGAGAAGCAGAGATGAGTCCACAGGAAGCCAGGAGGGAGAGGCTTCTCGTTATCAGCCCTCACCTCAAGGACCAAACTGATAACATGATTTCCTCAGAACCGGGCGTCAGGGCTTTCTGTTTCTTCTCTGGCAGAAAGTCCGGAAAGGCCCCTGCCCAGCCGGTTCATGCTGACATGTGACCTCTCCATTCTTTGCTTCCTGTAGGCAGGAAACCGCAAGCAGCACGTTGCTTTACTCCACATCCAGACGCACACCGTTTCCTCTGCTGGAAAACACATTAATCCGCGTAGTGAGGGAGAGGTGCCTGGGCTCTGAGGGATGCCGTGTTCTGTGTGGCCCGCTGGTGGCTGCTTTAAGGGGCTCCAGCACACCCTCAAAGCCACTGCCCTGGGGGTCACACAGTGACCCCTGGAAGGCGCTGGGTTTGGGGGACCTCAAGTCTCAGAGCAGTTGGACCCCTGGTGGGACCAGGCTGAGCCTGGGGCTGGGGCCCCGTGGGGACTGGCTCTTGGACACCAGAGGACACTGTTGCTGAGGGTGGCTGAAAGCCGAAACAGGATAACCCAGGAAGAATTGAATCACACACTGGCGACCCAGGAGGGACCCTCAAGGTCATCGGCTTCCCTCCTTTGAGATAATAAAGGATTCTGAGGCCTGGGGAGGGGGACAGGATTCACCCCCAAAATTAAGCACTAGGAAGTGATGGATTTAGAATTTGAACCTGGGCCTATTGCCTCCTGATCGCCATTCCTGGGCTTGCTGTTACAAATACACCATATACACGGAAACGTGTAACGCTTAAAGGACTTTATTGCTCGAATATTGGGCGCTCCTGACTCTTTGGGGACCTAAAGACAGAAGTAAAAGCAGCCTGGGGTGTCTCACGTTGTCGCTTTTCCCAGCCTTCCCCTCACAGCAGGATGGATGCTCACCTGATGCAGATGCCCCGCCTTCAGGGAGCCCACTGGCTTGGGAGTGGCTCCCCAGTCTGCGTCTCGGGGGGAGTCTTGCCTTAAGATGCTTTAAGAAAGCGTGACAGATGTGAGAGAAGCAGCCGAATGAAGATTTTAACGTGAGTCGGTGAGGTATTTCTGGAGGCATCCTGGAGTCCTCAGCACTTACCTTGGCGACATTGTGGGCACAGAAAGGGGACAGCAAAGGGCAAGAGGATCTTTCTAGGGTCTCCCTGACAAGATCCGCTCTCGTTCATTGGCACGATTTTTGCTTTTGAGAGCAAGAGCTTTATTTTTCCATTTTCCTTGCTCCCTATGCCTTATGTAACTCTGTGGGCTTGTTTTAAAGCCAGATGATATGCGTGGCTGATTCTTGTTCTGGGAATTAACGTGGTATGTTCACCCGAGTTCAGGGCATCAAGCTGCCTGAGGAATGTTGCTGGGACTCCACACAGATTCTGGCCTCAGTTGACACCTCACCTGAAGCATCTCATGGATGGACGTCCTTGAGGACGCATCTCATGGATCTCATGGATGGACGTCCTTGAGGACAAGGATCTGAGCCTCATTCTGAGACAGGCAGGGAGGGTCTTGGCCAGGACTGCGTACCCGGGTCTGTGCCCCTCAACGCAGGGCTTGAACTCAGCACCCTGAGATCAAGAGCAGGATGCTTAACCGACTAGGACCATCCCTGGCGCCCCCAAAAGGGAGATTTTTACCTTTCACCCTACTTGACACGTGGAAAAATAAGGAACAGAAAACGAGGTCGGGTGGGTCAGAAGACTCCGCTTCCCTGTGGAGGTGTGAGTGCAGACCACGCGGACAGGTGACAGGCAAGGGCCAGTCCGGCTGTGACTTGCTACCAGCGTACCTGGGCGTACGTCCTCCTGGCGCCACGCCGGGCCCCCGTCCTGCTGGAAACACCTCCGCACACGCAGACGCTCCAAGGACCGCCTTCGGGCTTCAGCGATCCCACAGACAGTTGGAACCCGTGTATCAGGTCCTCGTCACGGGGAAGGACCTGCAAGTGTTTTCACTTGTCCAACCCCCAGCAGCGTCCTACCATTCCCCAATCCCCTCTTCCCCTCTGCTGACAAGAGCAGGAGCAGAGAAGTTCTCACGAGGAGAACACTCTCGGTAATGAAAATGACAATTCACGACCCAGTTCGAGGCTCTGTCCCTCTCTTTTACACCTCCTTCGAGACTATAGTTATTTGTATTACTTTGCTAGGCGCTGTAACAAAATCCCACACACTGAGGGGGCTCTAACGACAGATATGATTGCCTCACAGTCCCGGGGCTGGGAGTCCGAGATCCAGGTGTGGGCGGGCGGGCTCCCCCCAAGGCTGTGGGGGAGAATCTGTTCACGCCCCTCCCCTACTTCCGGTGGCTCAGTGGCCGTCTCTGGCTTTCCGTGGCTTGTAGAGGTATCACCCCAATCTCTGCCTTTGTCATCACACGGTGTTCTCCCTGTGTGTGCATCTCTGTCCAAATTCCCCCTTTTTATAAGGATATTGGCTCGTTGGGTTGGGACCACCCGACTCCAGGGTGACCTCATCTTAACGGATTACACCTGCAAAGACACTATTTTTAAGGGAGGTCACATTCTGAGGTACTGGCAGGTGGGACTTCAACACACAAATTTTGGAGAGACACGGTTCAACCAGGACAGTGCCCTGGCATTCCAGGATGGGGAAGAGAGGGAGGAAACGAGCAGGAAATGGTTCTAGTGGAAGCCGGACAAAGCTAGATGCCATGTTGGGAGTCAGGGGAGCAGGGATGGTTGGGAGGAGGGAGGGGAGAGACCAGGAGGGAAGCTGCAGGGAGCTTCCGGGGGGCCTGGCCATGGGCTACCTCCTGCCTGTTGTGTGTTGTGGACCGCACATTATGCCCCAATCCCCTGCCCTGAATTCACATGCTGGAACCCTGCCGCCGCCTGCCATGTGATGGTAGGTGGAGGTGTGGCCTCCCAAGGGGGATTCACGCCCTTGAAAGGGTCCTGAGAACGCCGGTCTCCTCTATGGCTCTCAGCCACGTGAGGACACACATGCAGGTGGCAATGACAACCGGGAGGAGGGCCCCACGTTCAGGCGCCTAACCCGGGACCTCCAGCCCCCCCGAACTGTGAGACATTCGTGTCTGCTCTTCCAGCCTCTGTGTGGGTCTATTACTACAGCGGACCGGTGAAGACGGTGCTCACCTGGCGGCTCACTTCACGATAGTCATTCCTGAAAATCACGAACGTTCATGTTGCATGCACTGTTTCAACGTGTGTTATACTGCACATTTTTTTTTTAAAGATTTTATTTATTTATTTGAGAGACAGAGAGAGCACGAGCAGGGAGAGGGGCAGAGGCAGAGGGAGAAGCAGGCTTCCCGCGGAGCAGGAAGTCCGATGCGGGGCTCGATCCCAGGACCCTGGGATCATGACCTGAGCCGAAGGCAGACGCTTAACCAACTGAGCCACCCTGGTGCCCCTACTTCCCAGTTTTTTAAAAGTGAAAAGGAAGAGGGGGGACGTAGACGTTTTGCTTATTTGAGTGAGGTTGCCGTTGGTGGTAGGAGAGCCTGATCTCAGTCTGGGTCTGTGGGTGCAGGTCCTGTGTGGAATGTGGGTCTGTTGTATGTGTGCCCGTGTGTGTGTATGTGGGTGTGTGTGTGGCAGCCCTAGGCTCCTTTTGTGGCTGGAGGGTCTCTGAGAGGGGGGCTACTATGTTCCCCAGCGCCCCCTCCTCAGACACCTCCTCATCTCCTTCCTGAGTGGGGGTGTTTGCTGCTTCAGCCTCTCCTTTCCCTCTCTGCTCCTCTGAGGCCCTTTCTGACCCTCCAGAGCCTTGTAGAACAGGGACGGATGTCCGCCTCTTCCCTTTCTGGGCCACATAAAGCCCCTGCTGATAGAAGCCTCTGCAGCGACCTTCCCCTTCATGCGTGCCCAGACATCGGGGACCCCATCTTTCCAAGCTCAGCTTCTGCTCAGCAGGTGCCCAGCTGAGGAAGGAGAGGCCGGTGTCCCTGCGTGGATGAAGCTGACATCTGAAGGAATGTCCCTTGGCTTCAGAGAGAAGGAATCATCCCCAAGGGGCTAGAGAAGAAATGCACGGGGCCACACCCCAACTTCCTCTCCTCTTCCCCGTCTTCCACCTGAGGTGGGCATTCTACCGTCTTTGCCCTCTGGGGTGGTCCCTCTGCTAGGCCCTTTAGCCCCCTTAGAGCACGAGGACTCGAATTTATTTTGTTTCCAGCAGCAGGTCCTCGTTGCCCACTGTGGCCCTTGGCTGGAGTCTGCTGTCGTGCAGGTGGCTTGTGAGTCGGCAGCGGGCAAAGGGCTGGGGCGTCCAGGTGGACAGACACCCGGTCCCTGCCTTCAAGGGGCCGCTGTCCAGTGGGGGACAGACTGGAAGGAAGCCATGAGCGAGACACCAGGCAGGCTTCGTGAACCCTGAGAGATGATCAGCACGGGTTCTACCTCTCGGAGCCTCAGTGTCTTCATCCGCAAAATGAGAATGAGTTTTTTAGTGATTAAATGAGACAGAGCATGTAAAAGGCCCGTTAGATCATAAGCACTTAATAAATACTGGTTATTTTATATCACATCAAATATACACAAATATAGGTATATCACCTAACATACTATAATGCATTATCATATCATTATTTGTATTATTTTGAATTCTTCTTATGACTGGGACAGATACCTAAATGTGAGGTGTTAGGACAGAGAACCGTGCAAAGCACAGTGGGTGCATGAGGAAGGACCTCCCCTTGTCCTCATGCGAGGCCCCGTTGAGGAGGGGCCATGTGGGATGGCCCAGCAGGAATTAGCCAACAAACAAACAGACCACGGGCCTTCCCCGCAAGGGGCGCACCAAGAGAGTGGGGGCCTGACTTCTCTGGGGCTAGCTACCTACTGAGGGTTAAATCTAGAAGTATAGGAAAGGAAGTAGAAAAGGTGGCCATGGACCAAACCAGGGGAGTCTAAAGATTTAGAATTTTACTCTGGTGGTGATGGGAAATCACAGCAGGGTGTACATAGACAAATGACATAGATTCACATTTTTATTTTTATTTTTTTAAATTATTTGAGAGCAAGCACAAGCAGGCGGAGAGGCAGAGGGAGAAGCAGGCTCCCTGTTGAGCAAGGAGCCCAGATGCGGGGCTGCATCCCAGGAACCTGAGATCATGACCTGAGCCGAAGGCAGACGCTTAACTGACAAGCCACCCAGGCGCCCCTAGATTCACATTTTTTTTTTTTTTAATCATTCTGATAGGGCAGTGGAGTTTGGCTTGGAAGAGGCAGAGCTGGGAGCAGATGGAGAAACTCCTCTACTTCTGCACACTGAGGGGGATCTGACTGCTTAAAGGTGGGCCGGGCCAGGTAACTGGTTCTGGTAATGAAACGAGAGCAGAAGCTCCGGGTGTGTGAGTCTTGTTCTCCAGAGAAACAGAACCAGGGCGATGTATACATACATGGAACAAAATATATTTTAAGGAATTGGCTCTGAGATTATGTAGTCCAGCAAGTCCGAAATCTGCAGGGTGGGCTAGCAGATTGGAAACCCAGGGAAAAGATGATGTTGCAGTTCTAGTCCAAAGACCTTCTGCCCTAGAATTCCCTCCCACTCAGGGGAACGTCATTTTTCTGTTCTATTCAGGCCTTCAACTGATTGAATGAGGTCCATCCACATTAGGAATGGCATTCTGCTTTCCACAAGGTCCATTGATTTGAATGTTGATCTCATCCAAAAACACCCTCGTGGAAGCATCTAGAAGAATGTTTGACCAAATATCTGGGCACGATGGCACAGCCAAGTTTGCACATACAACTAACCAGCACAATGTGTTACCTCCACACAAAGCACTTAATTGTTAGTGCTCAACTCCCCAACCCTTGGCCAAGATGAACCTCCAAGTCTTGACTGAGATGTCAGTACCATAATATGGAGGAATCTCAGTGCATCTGGGGCCCTCAGTGAGTAGAGTCCTCCCTCAAGCCCTAATTGGATTTGTATCATGGGCAGGAAACAGACCTTTGTTGTTTAAGTCAACTTTGGGATTGTTTGTTACTGCAACCAACCTACCCTGTCCTCACCAATGATGTAGGACTGAAATATGGCAGTGGCCGTGTGGATGGAGAGGAAGAACAGATCTGGAATAAATTGAGGGCTAAAATCAACCAAGGACAAGGGAACAGGAGGAGTCTACCATGATTCCTGGGGGGTACTTGGGGAAATGCATGGGAGTTGCCACCATTTTCAGAATCTGGGGGCTCAGGGAGGCATGTGTTTGGGCAGAAGATGAGAACTCATGTGGGCTGTGACAAGTATGAGGAAGTCATGGGCCTCTGGGGGGGACGGCCAGGGGGCAACCACAGGGGCATTTCCCCCCTTCCGTTCACTGGTGCCTTTGCTTTTGAATTCTAGGTATCAACAATATAAACAGAATTCTTGAGCAAGTTTGGGTCCTCGAAAAGTGCTCTGTGCAAAATAAAACCCAATAAAGGGAGAAAATCACCGCATGTCATCACAGGAAGGGTTTTCAAATGTCAGTGTGTAAACCCTCTTTCAAAATGTCTCCCTCTAAGGTCCTATATCCTGAAGTTATATCTGTGTTAACATTGTTCTTTTTCCCTCCCCCCAAATAGCTACCATATAACGCCTAGCACAGAAACTGTAGGTATAATGTGTAGATAATGTTTTTAAATTGACCAGCAGAAGCCATGTTAACAAGTGGTAGGATGTCTCTTCTACATCAGACTCATTTGAGCTGAATACCAGGAGAAGGCGCACATAACACACACTCAGCTTCTCTGTGTGGATCGCTGGGGGACTGGGCTGGCTGGAATATGGTGCTGAAGGGCTCATAAACAAAGATCATGGCTTGGATACTCATTTTGGCCTGTTGGTTTAATTTTGCTCATTAACCACAGACTGTACCGAAACCTCTCAGACGTTTTTGCACATGTGTGTCTCCATCCTTTTGGGCTGCTCTAACAGAATACCGTAGACTTACTAACAACAGACCTGTATCTCTCCCAGTTTGGGGGGTGCTAAAGTCCTGGATCAGGGTGCTGGCATGGGGGGCAGGGGGAGGCCTCCTCTGAGCCGTAGGCTGCCACCTTCTCACGGCTGAGAGCAGAGAGAGGAAGCCAGCTCTCTCGTGATGCTCAGAAGGGC